AGCATTGCGTTCATCGTTTGTTGGAATAGGGCCGGGGCGGTCTTGACACCAAACGGCAGCCTGGTGTATTGGAACAGACCGCGGTGGGTGTTGATGGTCAACAATTCGCGCGACTCTGGGGCGACCTCGATCTGCAGATACGCATCAGCTAGATCCAACTTGGCAAAGCAAGTGCCACCATTTAGTAGGGTGAAAAGATCAGCCGGAACCGGTAATGGATAGCAGTTCGGCGTCAGTGCGGCATTGAGACCGGTGGAGAAGTCAGCACAAATGCGGACCGAGCCATTGGGCTTCTTAACCACAACGATTGGAGCGGCCCAGGCGGAGTAGGATACAGGAACCAGAACTCCCAATTCCTCTAGACGCTTCAGTTCAGCCTCGACAAGTGGTAGAGCTGCATATGGGACTGGTCGCTTTGGACGGAAGACTGGTTGACTTCCAGGAGACAGATGTAGCACGGCTTGAGTGCATGTGCAACGATCCAGGCCGTCTTGGAACACTGGAGCAAACCGTTGAAGAATGTCCTTGGCTTGGTCTGCAAGCACAGCGGGAATCTGCATCTTACTGCAAACAACGCGGAGCGGCATATCGGCCAACCCAAGTTGTTCAATCCAGTCGAGGCCAAGTAGGTTTAGATCAGACTTTGTGATGTAGAAGATCGCAGTGCTGCTGGTACCGCGGAACGACACACAGCATTGCAGTTGCCCAATTAGCTGTACGAGACCACCGCACGCGCTTGTGGCGCACTGGGAAGTCTGCTGCATCGTGGGGCTGCAAAGGGACTGCCAGAGTCTCCCAGAGATGATGGTGATATCTGAGGCAGTGTCCAACTGTAGACGAACTGCATGGTCGTTGAGCAAAATGTCAACAAACTTTCTACGACCAGACGCATTGAGCTGGGAAGCGGCCAAAAGACTGAGAGAATTACCCACGGACTGGGGTTTGGGCTTGCATTTTGGCCGGAAACGTTGCCTGGAATTAGGAGTGGCGGGGGCTGGCTTGCCTCCAGAAGCTGGTACTGATTTGCAGAACCCATCACGGTGTCCCACCTGATTACAGCTTTGGCAGCGATGCTGGAGGAAAGTGCAATCCCGGTGGAAATGCCACGCGCCACAGTGCCGACAAGGGGATGGCGGTGGTCTCGCCTTGGACACTTGTTTGGGTCGTGTAATAGGATGCGATTTGGTCGATGTGACCGTATGGATTGAGGAAGACGAGGCAGGGTTCTGAATCATTGCAGAGTCGTGCTTGAGGTTGATCAGCGTTTGGCACTCTGCTGCCAGCTCTTGGAGTGTGATAGAGTTGCTCTGCTGCACTTTGGACAGGAGACGTGTCCGGATATCAGCATCCTTGGGGGACTGGAGGCCGCAGATAAATATAAGGCATTTAAACTGGTCTTCAGTGAGAGAACCGAGTTG